TGGGAAGGTCTCAAAGCAGATCTTGTCCAATGTCTAGAAAGCAATCCTGAGCAGCAAACTGGATTTACTGATAGAGAGAGGCCAGCCCCAATCTCCACAGGGTGGAAGGGTGGACCAGCTATATCTGAATCATGTGTTTTGATAAACATTGTTGGACTTGGGCTTCTTCTAAATTCTCTTACCACCTGGATAGGCATAGCAGTCCAAGGGGTGGCAAGTATTAGGGTGATTTTGGAAACCTTGTGGTGAGCAGGTGTTAGACCATCACATGGAGTCTTCCTAAATTCTGGCCTAGATGAAGGGTGATTCTGAAAAATAATTAGCTCTGGATTTAAATCTTTGCTCGTGACCTCATTCCCACTAGCTGAATTTTCTCTTCCAGTCAGCACAGCTGGGGACAGCCATATATCTCTGGAGACAGTCTGCTGCTGCGGAAGGCCAGGATACTTAGAGGAAGTCACATGAAATCTTGTGATTTGAAGGGCTGGAGACGCACCTGAAGGGAAGCCTTGTTTTGGTTTCTGGGATCCTGTTGGAAGACCAGCCAGAGTTTCAGGCACCTTCTCTAATTGTGGCATGAGCAGACTTGAATGAGCATGGCTGCTTCCACGGGAATCTGCTTGAAAAGGCTTTATCGTCAAGCTGCAAGTTGAAATGTAAAGCTTCATTGAAGCATGGAGGTCTGGCATTTGGACATTGCCCTGGCTACAGCCTTGTTGGGGTGGAAGAGAATTACAAGGTTCCAGGGATGAATGCAGGTTTTTGCTATGGAGTGTAGAAACAGCTGGAATAGCAGACAGATCGACGTCTAGGCGTGATGTCCAGCTTGGTGGAGCTTTGCAGGAAAGGACATCAGAGGGCAAAGATACAGCAAGCTTCAAGGGATCATTTTTTTCAGGAGAAATACGATGAACACTTTTTTCTCTTTCTGAACATTGTTTGTAAGATGCAGATATTGACCGAGCACCAGAACGCCCATATCCATGGCCCCGAGGGTCATCAGAAGGATTGACACAGTGAGTAGCGCTCCCGAATCCTTTCCTCCGGTCTGTGTGTGCCAGGACGACATCTAGCCTTGAACAGTAAGCTCCAGAAGACACACTGCTTGGTGGTGAGCTGGCATTTCCTGGAGCAAGCTCTGCAACTGATCGACCAGTGGGAGGATGCCATGCTGATGCTGGCATCTTTTGAAAAGGCCTGTCCCGCACAGCGGATTCAAAAGGAGGAGGTGGGGTCATTCTGCTGGAAGACAGCATCACTTCCGCAGTGGAGACATAGGTTGCAGGTGAAAGTTTGCAGCGATGGTCCCTGCATGACATTCTGAAGCTTAGTCCTAAATGATGCAAAAGTCAAAGCCACAGAAGCTTGCCTTTCCCCCTGTTTTTAAAACCAACTCCTAGTCCTTTTTCCTTTGGCACTGGAAATTTCCATTCTTCCTCTGAAGCAAAGGAATGAGAGATGAATAAACATTCTCCAGGAAAAAAAAAAAAAAACTAAAAAAATCCACATTAAAAATAAAAATGCACAGCTCTTCTAATACTGCTACCACCGCCTGTCATGTCTGCAAAGTGATATGAGAGTGGGATGGGCAGAGAGATAAATTACGGAGCATGAGGCTCTGCTCCCTGAGTGTTCTGACAGTGAGACTGCAGACAGAGTAGGAGGGAGCCAAAAACGCCTGCCAGAGACAGCCTGTGAGCTCGCTGTTATTTCATCTGTGAAAAAAAGGAAAGCAGCTAACCTGAGCAATGCATCTGCTGCCATGAAAAGGTTAGAGCGGAGCAGAGTGTACTGGACACTGCATCTGCTCAAGGCAAAAAAAAATTTTTTTTCTTCCTTCTTTTTTTCAGCTGTTGCTTGTCTGTGCTCTGAATGGCAAGATCTCAGTCCGCAGGTCTTAGGAGAGTTTCCTACAACAGTTCCATGCAATGGCACAACTGAATTAATAGAAAAAAATTTTTTTTCAATGTAGATATTTACTAAATTTTCTCCACATGTGCTCTATTTTCTTTAGCATAGAACAATCCTAGACTAAATTCTGCAGAAATCCTTTGAAGGTTTAAGTAACTTGGATGTAATATAAGATGCTGGCGTAAAGTCAAACCTGTCACACTGGCACAGACAGCGAATGAGAGAGCAGTTCTCAGTAGTAGTTCTTAGTTTAAAACACTCCTCTGTTGCCTTCTTCCTTCCCCTGTTCCTTGCTGCTGAGGGAGAGACTTGGTTTAAGGCATATGAAGTAGTGGGAAAATAAGATCCAAAAATTATGGGATGGCAGAAGCTGCTTTTATTTTGCAGATGTGCAAAGTGAAATGCACATGACTGAGCTTTGCCTCAAACACAAAAGTCAGAAGAAACACAAGGGGTGGAGAGATTGCTTATATTTGTCTCCCTGATAAGAATCTTTTTTGAGTGTGTGTTTGCTTTTGTCCTTTCTGAAAGCAGAAAATTACAATATTCCCATTGGGAAAGTGGTTTGGGAGACTTCAACTATGTCTTGGCTGAATGCTTTTTGAAAACATGTTTGAAAGGACTGCTTTCCTACCCTCCTGCCTGTCTCCCTAGGGAGCAGACTCTGCATCTGTGCAGCCACATTTTAACTCCATATAGTAGTAATAGAGCTCCATCCAAAAGGAACAGATTCCTCTTCCAATTGTTCTTCAAATGCAGGGAAGTAAAATACAAATAGTGACTAAGGAACCTCAGTTCACTGTCAAATTTTATATCCTGATCCATAAGCAGATGGGGGCAGCTGCAGAAGACAGCTTTGCTATTCTTGCTATTTCTCCCTCATTTAGATGGGAGTCCTGCAGCACAGGAATAACCCTTCTGAAGAATGATCACACTTAGAGATGAGAGAACAAAAGCAATGGTGGATACTCTGGGAATACAGGAATTCCAGTTGTAGAAGAATCAGAACAATGTTGCCATTTCTATTCAGGGCCAGGCTGATGCACTGCATATTAAGGAAGGACTAGAATCTGGTAGAAGGTAAATTCCCTCCTGTTCTTCCATAAACAACAACAAATGAGCCTATTCTTGCAATGATTCGCTTTCTTTATTGATTTCATCCCATACATTCTTCAAAGATACGGCTTATTTTGTATGTGAACACATACAGTCTCTGTCTTCTCTGCAGCATAATAGCCTGACCCTGCATCACTCTGTATTTATACTTACTGTAGACTGACACTGCTCTGGACACCAAGGTGATCGGCAACATTGCCATGTCTCAAATCAGTAAAACTGACTTAAAGACAGCAAAATATGATTTAAAATGAGCAGGCAGCAGTGGAATTTGTGAAGTACGGCTGAGATGTGCTTTCACCAATACTCTTTACCTCTGAGGCAGGCTGATGTTCCTGGGCAGCTGCCTTTTCTTCATGGTACTTTTCCTCAGTGTCAGCTGTGTGTAAAAACCAAGTTGACAAGAATGGACAACACAGGAGTGAGTTATTATGATGGAGGAAAGCTAGTAATTCCTGAAAGAAAAGCTGTTCACTGTATCGGCCTGATTGGTGCATCCAGTATAGTAAGAGTTGAAGCTCATCCTGAATGCTCACAGCTCACTGAGGATCTGTTTGTTTGCATCCTTGGATATGAACAAATTCAGTCTCTCTTCTTCCCACCTAACAGCACTTACATGTTTCCTGGATTAAATCTGAGCACTAATCCATTAACAGTCCCTACGAGGCATTGTGGTAGCTCAGTGATTGTAGGGACTGCCAGTGAAGGAGAAGACATACAGCATTATAAAGATACACATTTCCTTCAAGGAAAGAGTAGCAGAAAGCTTCAAGCCTATGTGTCCCAAAGGGTCAAGTGTCACTGCATGACACAGCTTAGGGTCAGTTTTCCAAAAGATTTAGTGCCAGTAGCAAAGCACTGATGGAAAACAGAGCTCAGCACAAATGGAGAGCTGTTATATTATGCTGCAGTGGTCTTGCAGAATTAAGAAATTTTTTTCCTTAATAAGAAATAATCCAGAGGTACAAACTCCTTCAGCTTTGCTTCAGCCCTTTTGTTTGGCATCCTTCAACCCATCGATCTGGTTTACATGCCAAATCTCAGCACAGTTACAGCAATCTATTAATCCATGAATTTGTACAGAGTGACTCGAAAGCTTCTGAATTGTGCACTAAGTTTTGTAATAGCAAAGGCTTCAAGCTGGAACATTTTTAAATAGTTCCATGAATCCAGGAAAGTGCAAGAAAGACAAAATATAATTTAATACTGGTGAAAAAAAATTCTATTTCAAGAGCTGCAAAATGATGATAATAACATCCTTCTGTCTCTTTGCATTAACTGTACCAGCCCCCTCTTTTCACGGGAGGGCTTTTTCACTAGCTCACCTTTCTCTACTGCATCAAACAGAAACTAATATTCCTTACAATCAAACTCTTTCGCAGTTGTTCTCTACACCGTTATCAACTCCCTTGAAGAACTGAGAAGTCAATTCCTTTTCCTGGATTAACTCACACTGCCAACTTTCATTTTCCACTAGTTGCATTTCCCCAGCACTAACCCTCAGCCTGGGATGAGGTTTCCAGCAACACCTGCAAAGTAATATCTCTGTCTTCCTTCAAACCCTCTTTACAATTTCCCTTCACTCTGAAGCCTACAAAGTAATTTTCCAGTGATTAAGCAGTTGGTATGCTGCAATCTGTTTGTAAATTTGACTAATACTGGACTGTTGTCTCCCTCTTCTGTTGTGACTCTCATCTGTAAGCTCTTATGTTTTTTTGCAATGAATTATCATTCAGGCAAGAATCATCTTTTTGTTTCTGGTTCCACTAAGCCCCATAAGAAAGGGGGGGTCCCGTACACTGCTACAGTCTCCAAGTGACACCGCAATGCAAATAACAGTATAAAGAGTGTCTTGTCTATACACAGACCCAAGGATTTTAAGTTGTAGGTGAACCGTACTGCACCTTTTAGTTTAGAAGAGTCCAAATGCTTGAAGAATTTAACTGCTTATTTCAAATATACAATTCACATACCTCCTGTGAATTCAGGAGCATGTCCAGGTGATCCCAGTCCTTGTAGAACATTTGTTCTTGGTGTATTTTCTCCAGCCATTCCTTCTTCTGTTTCCATTCATTGTATACATTTTCCTTCTCTTCCAACAGAGCCTGTAGCTTCTGCTGAATCTGAACACAATTTCCAATGAAAAACTCATGTTGGTCTTTATACCTCATGGACCAGGGAAAGGTGGGAGGAGAAAGGATTAAGTGGAGTGATGGATAAGCCCCTTAATTTGCAATAAAATTATCAAACAGAAAAAGCAAAACAAGTGCTAGCAATTGGGCAGAGATAATCAGAGGTGCCTCATTTCAGGAATGGAGGGGCGCTTCTTACAGCTTATATAGCAGTCCAAGTCAAGAGCAAACGTAGATAACTTTCTCAGATGTGCCTTCTAGGATCAAATCCTAATTCTCCATTATCTTTAGTCACAATGGTACAATTACAGCACTCCAAACTGGGGTAGGACAGATACTTAAATAAGTTATCAACATAGCATATTCTTCTAATCAGTGGATACATGCCTCAAAATTAGACTTTATGTAATTTCAGCTTCCAAATTCTGTGTATCCACAGGCCTTCTATAAATTATTTTTTCCTACATTTTTCTACAGGCAAAGGACTTTACAGTCAGGAAGATTTTTAGTTACTATAGTAATACATTGCAATATTCAACAAATTTTGAAGAAACAGCTTGGTCAGGTGGGATAGTAATTTGCATGAACTCTGCAGTTTTCTGAAGATATTCAAGGGACATGGAGAAGTAAACTAGTAGGTACCGGAAAATAAATAATGCTGTGAGAATCTTAGAAGCTATTAGTCTTGAGCAAACTGACATTTTCATTTCCATCTGTCATTTCTGAGGAATTAAATATACCAGTGTAATTCATTACTACAGAAAAAGTTTCAATTAATCTTTAAACTCTCTCATATGTTTGAATGTTTTAATTCTTTGGTTGACAGGATTTGTCCAGCCTGGTCTGGTATGGATATAACACTTCAATGTGAAGCATAGTATTTGTGTGAAAACCCACTTTGGGAAGTGGGTAGAATTGTCTCCATTGCTCAGAACATAGTGAACTTCTCGAATTAGCCGAGCTTTGCTGCAGTGGGCCCTCAGGAGATACCAGCACTCACCTAATGCTGAGGTAGGAAAGGGAACAGATGTTTCTGTGCCCAGTCTAGGTAATGCACTGAGGCAAATGTAGGTCATGCATATGGATATGTGTGAATGTACACATGCATTTGTGCACTTACAGTGTGATATACAATAGAATGATAGTTACACTGGTATTGAGTAGCTGAATATATGTGACTGAACTCAAATGAGTTTCAATTACCTCTTTTGATCCTATTTCTTCATCTTGCAACAGTGACTGTCCTAGCTGTACAACATGATTATACTTCTCTTCTCGTGCTTCGATCTCTGCCAGTAGCTGTTGATGCTGGGTAAGTCTCAGGCTGCTGGTAGATATGTCCCGAATAGTCTCCTTGGCTCTCATTTCCCTTATTATTTCTGCTGTCCATGAGAAATAGTCCCACACCTGGAGCCCAAGAAAATGTGAAAGCTGAGGTTAGAGCTCACGCTTGCGTTATCAGACAGGAAAATCATAGGCTGACTATTCAACTTTAGGAGAATAATAGGTAAAAAAAATCACAGATAAAAAAGAAACCATTTCATTAGTGTTTAGAGTACTTCTATGAATTTTAACAAGGGTGGATAACATGACTGCAGGAATTTCTACATACTGTGTTAAATCATACATGTTTTGTAATATCATAATCATAACCAAACTGTATCATATCACATCAATGACAACATGATATCATTTATTGCCCTTTAGTCCATCATTCCTGAAGTGTTTTCTGGTGTTATTCCTTCACAGAGGATAAAACAATATAATCCTATTTTTCTGTGACATAGCTTTGGCTAATACAAGTCTATTAAAAAATAAAGTTGTACATATATTCTAAAATGAGCGTGAGAGTTTTCAGGTGAAAAATAAATAAGCTCACTCCAATAAGAGGTGGAAAAAAGGAAAATCACAGGTCAGAAAAAATTGCTTAAGCAATGGTTTGTAGAACTATATGACTATATGACTGAGATCAACACAGAAACAGAATTCTGGAAGGAACAAGGATGTAATGCTAACTTACTTTCAAAATCTGATAAACCGATAAACATATTTACAGTCTCTTAAAATGTCTGAAGCATTCAGCTAAGGCAATTACGAGTAAGAAAATTCTTAAATCTCAGAATTATTTTCAAATTGTGACTCAAGACACTTGTGCGATTAAAAATAATTTGACATTTTCTGTGTGTCTTTCTCTGCACTTGATTCTGCACCTTCACCAGTCCACTCGCTTTAGGCATCTCATCTGAATCTGTAATCAGTGGTATGCTCTTATGTGTTGGTTGGTAAATAGTAGGACTGCCAGGGACTGTACTGGGGTTCATATGGGATAATTAAATAAATTTTGTTATAGTTTAATTGTGTTTGGATTAGTTGATTCAGTTCTGAGGTAGTAAAAACTTTGGTTTTAAGTGTATTTTAAAAGACAGTTATGTATAGCAAGTGCTGAAGAAAAATACTCTTACTGCAGAGAACTAAAAATGTTCTCTTGTGAACAGTTGCTGGCTTTTCTGCTGAAGGAAACTATGTAATGGAAATAGCTTCTTGCCTGTTCCATTCTACCCATGGATTTTTATCCTGATCATCAAAATTTTGTACACCTCAAGGCTGGCTTGCGAACAATTCAGCCAGGAAAAAATATTCTCAGAAAAACACCACAAAGTTGGAAACGGCCAATTTGGGGTCCTAAGAGTTTAGGCTTTAAAGCCAAGATACTATTTTCTGAAAGCCAGTGAACACTGCTACTAAAATGACTCTTTAAAAGGACTATGGACCTTTTAAAGGGGCCCAATGTAGTGCACACATGTTGGCATCATCTTGATTTGCAAAACTAATTCACACACAGCTGGATGTCACTGCAGACACTGACATTGCACTTGGCACTGCAAAAGTCTAAGACTCCCTGAGATTTTAAGCTAAACATTAGGAAAAAATCCATAAATCTCAGGATATTTAATGCAATGGAACAAGTCAAGAGCCAATAAGAGGTTAGTGGACTGCCACTGCCAGCAACATTTAAGGGTAGACTAGACATCCGTCTGCAGGAAACTCCTAAGCAGAGCCCGACTGAGACCATGCAGATCCTAGCACAAACTTCAGAATGAGAACCTCAAACCATTCAGAAATACTTTTGACTCTATGCCTAAATTAATCTTCCTTGATGGAGTTTCTCAGAAGATTTTGAGCCCTCTGCTGTTACCGTGTGTTGTCTGTTAGGGCCAAGCTCTGCTATTTAATCAAACTAAAATTGTACTTGATGGGATGCAGGGAGATACACTAGATGATTGTGCAGAATTCTCATTTTGTGGAAAGGCTGGTTTGTTTTGTTTGTTTTTTTTTTTTCCCACTTCTTAATCTGTGTTCAATTTCATAATGAAAAAGGCCCACGGACTGCATATGAAGAATACTAATGAAAAAAGTACACTCAGCAGGTGTGACTAACATTAAGTTTGTGGAACTCTTGGCATGGAAAGAGGAAAGGGATCAAAGTTGCCTCTTCGGACTCAGCAATTTGGGGGATGTTCTGCAGCAAAGCAGGAGAACCCTAGAGCTACTGAGATTCTTACAGTCATTAGACATGGCTGTATAACCCTGCCTTGTCCCATCTGGGCAGAAAGATAAGCTTCCCAAATTCACTTCTTCAGGAATTGTCAGGAAAGGAGGTGAAAATTGAGAGGATCAGGAATACTTCTTGCCAGCAGACTGACATCAAAGAGACAAGGAGATGCCTGAGGCATAATCCCATCTAGGCATGTCACTGAGAATGTAGTCACCTGGCTTTGTAATTTTATTTTATGACGTTAAGAAAGTGCCTTAATGGCTTTTGTAGCCCTCTCTATTAAGCACTGACAGATTTATATATTTTTAAGGTGTTCATTGCTTGTAAGTTTATTAATGTAGATGAAAACACACACTGCCAGAGTAAGAAACGGGCTATAGATTTGCCATTCAGATCACAAGATGCATCACAGATTTCAGACAAAATTCAAACCAAAGGTATTTTGTATAGTTCTAGCAATAAAAAAAAAAAAAAAGCAGCACCCCCACTAACAGGATATTTTCTATCTGAAGTCAATAATTAAATTTATGAAATACGTTATGAAACAAATCAATAACAAAGTGAACTCTGAGTGACTATGTTTTAATGGATAAATCCATCAAGATCCATCTCCTGATGAAGATTCCGCCAGGCTGAAGATTTCCAGAATCTAATATATGTTAGAAGAATACACACTAGAAGAGGTGTATCTTGTTCTTACTGTCATCCCTAGATCACTGTCAGAAAGACAGTGGATAAATGAACCTTTCACCTATATCAGTAGAGCCACTCTAATTTTCCTTAAATCAAATTCCAATTAATTTTATTTCCCCATCAACAGTTCTGCACAAGATAATGGATTCTTAACAGTTAAAAAACAAAGCAACCAAACCCTCAAAAAACTGAGGTGTCATAAACATCCTTTATCTCTAACTGTACTATATATTTTCGGATTAAATATGACAAATAATGTGGGTTTGAACACTTTTAAGAGACTTAAAGTGGATTAGCCTAATGTGCAGAAGCATCTGATGCTAATACAAAAGGATCATATACACTCTATTGTGGTTTTGATCCCAGCTCACAATCTTAAGACAAACTTGTGGAAAGGTTTTTTCCAGGTAAGCATTCCCTGGATATTCTCTGCTTCCCAGCAAGCATGGAAACAGAATGTGAACTACCAGAGGTAGCTTTAATTGACACTGAAGTATTATACCTGGAGCAGTTCAAGAATACAAAGAATGTAAAGGTATTCTAGAAATCTACATTAGCAACCTCCTTCATGATAAAAGGGGGCATCCTTGCTGGTTTAGTACTTGCTAATGCAGTACTTGCAGCAATAATCTACCAATTCGCATTGGTGTAGCTCAAGTGCCTTCGATGAGACTACCGACATTTGCAAAGTATTCTGTGGCAAATCACAGCTCAGTGATCTACTGAATTCATAGAAGAAAAAACTACTGTGCATTGCAGATGATGATATTATGCCTATACGTGCATGTCACTGTTTAAAACAACATCAGAGGTTACTGAAAGACCAGTGCATTGTGTTTGACACATTCCATGAAGTAAGTTAACTGGGGGTATTGCATGCCCTGAGAGAGAGAGAGAACAAACTTCTAGTCATTATAAGTGGGAGTCTAACATCTATTTTTATCACTCTTACTCAGTGGGAACTGCAGAGTCTGTGAAAAGACTACTGCTACTCCTGTGAAGTGATGGCCATTTCTGACAACTATCAATTATCCCGTACACAGTTGGATACAAGCTTCCCTTCCTACAGAAAGTAAAGGATCCCTGTTCTCTAAAACCTTTCTAAATATCTACAAGCACTTCAATGCTTGATTAATAACACAGGTAGCACCTGTGGCCTTTTACATCAACCTTTGCAGCTTAGATGTACACCTATGCTTCACACACTGAATGGACAGAAGGCAGAAGTGCTTACATGTGCCTGAAACTGATAAAGCTTGTATGCTTGTTCCAGAAGTTTCTTGCGCAGTTCCACTTTATACTTCAGGGCCTTCCAGTTGGTCACTATTGCCTGCTGCTTTGCTTTCAGTTCTTCCACCTGCTTCTTTGAGCAATGGGTCAGCACATGATCTGCAGAGTGGATCAGCTCCTGCAGCTGCATAGGGATGAAAGAAGAGGGTAGGAAAGAGAGAGTCATAGAGATCCAACTAATATCAGAAAAGTTATGATAAGGGCTATGTTAATTGTACATGAAACTACAATATGAGTAACATTTTCTGACCTAACTTCTCATGCTAAACTAAACCTTTCCTAATTTCACTTCTATGGAATAACAGTGACATCCAGTGTTTGCTAAGGCTCATCACAATGGTGTTTTTTCAAATAAGCAGGCAGATTTTGTTTCTCCTTTTTACTATACCATTTATTACATGAGTAATGCAAATAATAGCTAACCATACACCTTGTTTTCCCCAGTGACCATATAGATTAACTATCACTACATTCTCTTCATGCATATCTCATGCTCTTCTACCTTTAAAAGCAACAAGCAGTTGGTAGGATCAATTCTAGTGTTATTTGCCACAAGGCCAAGATATGAGGCCACTGGTAAGTGACACTGTGATAACTACTTCAGTGATCTCAATATAACACATGCTGTGTTAACTAGACCATTACATTCACTAAACAAAGGGATGAAGAGAAAACTCACACTAGTTTTATTGGTCTAGTTGAAGCTAAGCAAATCTCCTATATACAAGAAAGCTTTTTAAACAACAGCTGTTCTCATGAGCTGAAACTTTTCACAAATTTGTATAATGAGCCCGATCCTTCTTTCTCACAGTCCAATTCCTACCCTTCAATATTTGTTGAAAATTCCAGGCTGCTGCCCCATCCTTCCTTCTATAATTCTCTTTAGTTAATCAATGCATTTTGTGTTCAATAAATATTCAGTTTCTCTGCACACAGAACAGATTCTGGATTTTTCCTTGTAATCACCTGGAACACTTTGAAGACGTTAAACACATCATAAAGCCTGCTGTAATCATACATTTCAAACAGTGATCAAAAATACCCCTGTGAATCACTTCAATAGTCAGTGCTCATTATAATACATCCCTTATTTGTAAGATTTTAAATGACCTGATTCATCATTGCCATCAAACCTTGAACATATTAAAAAACCCAGAAAACTAAGGAAGATCCTTAGAGATTTCCACGCTCTCACAGAGCACCTGTAATAATTTGGTTCACAATACAAAGTTATTACTATGATTGTCTTGGAAACTTGAATTTTGGTTACACTAGACCCCACAAATGACTTGCCTTACCTGCTGCTCATTCCCAGAGAGCTCGTGCTCCAGGGCCACATGGTTCCGGAGCTGGGTTTGCACACCTCTCATGTCCTTAGCAACATCATCTGGAATACTTTTGGACTTCTCCTAGAAGGAAGAAATCAGAGAAAGCTTTGTAACTTTCTACTTCCAAGCAACTTCTACTTCTGCTTTAGTCATTTTGTGTAGCGCAACTCATACTACACAGTTAAGGACACCCTGAGTTACTCAACTATGATGGGTAAAAGGAAACCAGAAAAATCTGTCCTAGTACATCTGTCCTAGAAACTCACTTGTAAATATCTTAGTGATTAAGCTAACCAACCAGACTGTGAGAGATGAAGTTTCAAGTCTTTTGTTGATCAGACAATACAGGTGACTTGTCCTACAGGCTTTGAGCTGGGAATCAATCCTGAATAGTTACTGCAGCGACATAAAATGAATTCTTTAAGTAGCATTAACAACCAACAGTTTCAGGCCATTCTTTGGGATACAGGCAGTCTATTTGTGAACGATTTTTAGATAAAAACTTAGTTAAGATCAGGAAAGATGAGTTAAAATGGCATATATGCAAAGAAAGATTACTGTAAAGATGAGAGAAATGGCAAAACCATCACATAAAAGGAGACTTAAATATTTACTTAGCTCAACAAAGGTTCCAAGGGGATTTAGTTGTTACACAGACGTGCACTGGGAACACAGCAAGCAAGAAGAAAAGGCATTTCAGCTGGAGGATAACACTGTTGCTAGAATAAAATTATTAGAAACTTGCTCCCAGTCAATTTAGGTGAAAATTAGAAAAACATTTCTAACCATTGGAGAAGTGCGTTTCTGTAACAGATTCACAGGCTGGTTCGAGGTACCAACAATGCATCTCGGTAAGGCACTGTAAAAGGAGATGCATGTTGTATTTCCCTATGATATTATGGCACTGGAGCTGGTGACTTATGCAAGATCTTCTAGTACTATGTTCCTATGAAAAATGGCTTTCCCCAGTAGACATCTGACCAGGGTACGCAGGAAAGGATGGGCAAGATGACCGAATTGCTCTCCCACTCAGTAGTGAAGCTTATTAACAAGACGTGATGCAAGAAGTGTGTTTTGGTTGCCTGGGCCAAACTCAGCATGGGGATAAGCCAACAGCTGGTCTGTGAAGTGTTTCTATCACTTGTCACTCCCGCAGAGTTAACTACTTCATCATTGAAGTTGAATATGCTCCAGGTTCTGAAAACCCAGCTAATATACAGTGAAATATGACAACGTTTGAGCTTCCATTCATGACAGGGAAAGAAAACAGGAATAACATAGTTGAATAAAGCAGCCCCTGCCAGCACAAGCAAGTAGAAAATCTACTGCACATAACCTAACAAAACCCTGTTGCCTTGCAAACAGTGGAAGCTCTGTTGGATCGCTACCTCCTGGACACATCTGCATTAGGGAAACCACACCTCTCATTACAGCAAGGATGTGGTTTCTCCATTAAATTTTTCAGGATGCTTCAATAAAACAGAAGGCTGATGACTTTAATTGGGACTTCTCCCCTCAGTTTTACCACTGGGACTGTTTGAAATTATTGCCAGTACTGGGTGCTGAAATGAGAGGGAAAGATTTTTGGCCCAGCTTTTCACATCAGATCACATGATGGCCTGACAACCAAGATAATGGTCACTGTAACCCAGACAAATGACTTTTTCATAAGACCATTTTCTTCAGCACATAAAGCTACAATGGTGTACAAAGAACCACCACAGTGCGGCAGTAAATGGTTTCTTAGTCAGGCCAGATGACTGCAAAGAACATTACTACATGCATTGGACTGTGAGACCTTGGTTCAAGCCCTGGTCTTGGTTTATCCCACAGATCGGCAACTCTAGCTGCACCTGGTTTCAACAGTGGTTCTCATAAGGTGATCAATTAGGCATCTAAGGGCTATCCAGGATTATTCTTTTTTTTAACACTTTGAGTAATCACACAGGTTTCTTACTGAGATTTTTTTTTAGAAGTCAACAGTAAGCACACTGAGAATCATAAAAATACTCCACAGATTAAGCTGAAACGAAGTTCTCATAGAAGATGACTTTCCCATTAATATTTACCTCAATATGGGCCAGAGCATCTGTCAGATCTTGGTGACACTTGTGAATTGCCTCAGCATCTCTCAGACGCTCACCTCGTAATCTGGTAATTTCCAACAGCTCCTCCCAGGAGTTCCTACAAGGGAGGAAGGGGAAAAGAACCATGTAAAACATTCAGACTAGGAATAAAGAACATTAACAGTCTGAAGAAGGACTGAAAACAAGACCTACTCTTACTTTGTTTTTCATTCCTCCCATTAAATTTTGTTGGAGGGATTCTATGAAGGGCAGCATGTCTCTCACCCTACTCTGTCCTTGTCCTCCTGTCTGCTCCAGGCACTTAGATAGATGGTCCTATATAAGGATGCCTTTCTCCAATATGCTTTTTGGGTTTTAAATGCAGGACTTGGAGGACTGAATGAGACCCTACTATTCCTTCATGCTTCTCTTCTGGGCCAGTTTGGACCAATGCCACACATAAGCTCAGAACATACTAACGTTGCTTCTGCAGAGCAGTCATGGGATTCAAACTCAAAAATCAGAAACAATAAAGAAGCAACTAAACTCCTAGATTTTCAATTAGGTGATCCTGTTTCAAAGAGCAAAGGAAGTTCACTCATCCCTTACTTGTAAAGCACCTCTGATGCAATTTACAAGAAGCCAAATCAGCAAGCACATAACGTCTGCATTATAGTAGTCTATTTTTAAATGAGGCATGGCAGCAGCTCTATATCAGTGAGCAAATTACATATTTTGCAATTAGGGCCTTATCCTTTTCTAATTCCTTCTAGCTTCCTCCTCCTTGAGAGTGAATTGAAAGTACAAAGCATTACAGAGCTAACACAAGTCTCCTACCTTAGGTCTTTCTGCTTCTGCCGAATTTCCCGGGACTCAGAATGCCCACAGTTCAGCAAGTTGTCTGCCAGCTGCTGGCAAGCCACAAATCTTTTCCCAGCTGCTTCCAACTGACGTTGGAATGTGTCATATTTGGCACAGAGTTGCTTTTGAAGGAAAAACAACATAATAAAAAGGCATTTTGAGTTCTGTCTTTTCCCAAACTTAGCTATCAGAGCACAGGCAAAAGACAGGTAATAAGCTGATCACAATTGGAGATGGAGTAATTGCAGAGAATGACTGGATTTTACCTCGAAAGACCATGAGGAGCTGGAAACTATTAGCAAAACATGAGGTTTGTGATGCAGATGGGAGGCAAAAACATTATTACCAGGGATAGAAATAAACATTCAATGTACAATGAATTTAAATTATTAAATGATATGTTTTCACTTCATGAATGCAAATGTGTATTCAGTACTATAACTGAATAAAGTAATCCAATTTTAAGATTTAGGACACAAGATATTTTGAAATAAATTATAAAAATGAGGATTCTGAATGGCTATTTCTTTCCAATGGACTGACATTAGATTAGCTTCTGTACCATGTGAAGAGATGTAGCTGTAGATGTCTGTACATCAACATTTGTGATGAAAAAAATCCTTAATGGAGAACCACAGTGAAATAACTGGTTATTAAAAATAGAAAGGAGTTTCTCTCTAAAGGCATAGACATTTTAGCATGCAGTTGTTCTGTGCAGCTCAGCCCCCACAGTAACAGGATGTGTTAGGCAATGTTGCCTGTCTGTCATAATGAGTCAATCCTTACCACCCACTCTTCACCCTTTTCTCTTCCCGCCTCCCAGTTATTTATACCTATTTCTTGCTCTGTTTTATAAGTTTTCAAGGACAATCTTAGAATCTTTTTACAGTCTCCCTACATACAGTTTGGTTGATTTTCGAGCTGTTACTCAAAAAACTTACCAGGACATGTTCGTAATCATTTCCATAGTCTTCAGAGCTGGCTGTTTGTTTCTGCTGAGTGACCCAGTCTTGCAGATCTTCATATTCTCGTAGAAACTCATGCAAGACAAGAATCTCATCCAGCTTCTTCCCTCTGTTGCGGGAAAGAGACAATACAATCAGACCAAGGGAATGTAAGAGGAGGGCAATCAGTAATTTTCTTCCTATTAATCCCTAAAACCTCTCGCCATCAAGATTCATTCTCTTTCATTAAAGAGCTGACTTCATTTCTCAAAATTGGAAATCATGTTTGTAGGATGACAGCTGTCAGCCAGATCAGACTTATTGGCTGAGTTTCCCAGAAAAGTACTATGCCTAGCTGAGCTCTCTCCCTGGTTTTGTTGTTGTTTTGGTGGGTTTTTTTTGGTTAGGGTTTTTTTTTTTCTCCTTCCCATGAGAATACCCTTTGTTTTTTTCCAGATCTGTCCTGATCCATCTTTCTAAAGATAATTGTAGTACTTATGAAAATTAGAAGGAAATCTTCCTAATTGAGGATGGTACCCCTGGAAGGCAAGTGCTGTGAAAGCCATTTTATGCAATTCTGTACATATTGTCTGTGCAGCAAAATTGCTGCAACCTGTTGCATATTTCTGATCTTATAAAGCAGTCTGACATATTACAGGTCTTCCACAGTAAACAAAATACCAATCCTCCACCTGCTAACACTGCCTGTCCATTGTGCAAATATTCTAGGAAAGATGAACCTGGCTTCCCTGTTTGATCCACCAAGGAGAATGCAGATCAGAGGTGCAAACCAGACCACCAATAAGGTTCCATGAGACCCAGGTTAACATTAAGCATGAATACAAACATTTCTGTATTCAACACACACAAGCATTGTGATATTTCTAGATTGAGTATTTATTTTTCTGACTTTTTCATTCACAGGATTTTCTATAGATGCTTTTATTTTTTGAATTGTAAACAAGACTAAAACCATAAAATATTGGTATTTCCTCTAGGCTTAATTATTCTAGTATTCAGACTCATTTATTTGTTATTCTACTTGCAGAGCCCCTTCCTTTTCTGAGGGAAATTTTTGTGGAGGAAAAACCTAAACTGTTCAGATATTTGTTCCTTCCTGATAGGAAACCACAAGTGTTTAAAAACCCTGTGCACAAGCAAACTGTCCTGTTGTAAATATCTTACTGTAACAATAACAGAAAGGAAGCAAAAAGAAAAGTAAATGACCCATTCAAGAATAAAACCTTACTTATACTAGCACAGCCATTGGGCATAAAGATAACTGCAACCGTATTTGTCTCCCTTCTGCTATGTAATGAATTAAATAATTTTCAAGCAACATTAAGGAAACATTTAAAAAAACATTTTTTTTCCTTTTGATAGCAAATACCACAAAGGCAAGTCAGAATCCAGCATCTCAAGTCACTTTACAGGAATATGATGAAGGATAAAGAGGAAATTTGGATGCTTCAAATCCTTAATATGTAGCAAAACTTCCTGAATAAAATACAGCGTTCTTGCTTAGCAATAATGAAAAGCTTATAGGTGCACAGAATTCTAATATACTAATTTCCTAAATACTATTGAAAAAAGAGAGGAGATAATGGATATGATCTAAATTCCAATGAGGTAACTAAATTCCAGTGAAGTATCCTCTACAGTGGGCTTTGTATCAAAGCTAGGATCCAAGAGGCGGTTTAGTTTATACCTTGCTGCTGCTAACTCCTGCAGCTCCTGGAGTCTTGAATGAACTTGTTCCTTTGGTCCATCAACCTCAACATACTGGATGGAACCCGCAAGAGGAAGAGTTTGGGCACTTTCACTCAATTCTTTCATGAAATTTTGGTAAATGGCAATCTCATGCTCCAGTGCCTGGCAGAGAACAGAGTGGATTAAGAGCCAGTTGTCCAGGGTATCCACTGTTTGAACTTTTGCACCAGCTTATGGTGTAGTCATTGAGACATTAAAAGAGGAGAAAAACTTTCTGGAAGCATGTGACATTTCCAAGACTTGAACAATTTTAGATCATTTTCTAGCAACATTTTTTGGAAAAGTAGTGTACATAAATTCAAACAAATTAGGTGAATAAAGACAATTAGAAATTCCTGATGTGTTATTAGGCAGAGAAAAGTATTCTTGGAATAATAGTCTATCTGTATCTTTGATTCTAGGAAAAAAAAGAAAAACAAACGAGGTTTTTGCATGCATCTGTTAAGACTGAAAAGCAGATATCAGATCATATTTTTGACCTCAAAAATAAGATCAGAATAATCACCGTTCTCCTTTTTCCCCAAACTACATTTTTTCCAACCATATTAGTATACTGTATTGATCACTTCTATCAGTCCGTTCACATGTAGACATATACCAATAATATCTTGTAGATGGCTGGACACTTAAGTACCAACGAGATAGAAAATTTCACAACTGCAGACAGACCAGAAGATCAGGCCAGTGTACAGGATTTAAGCAGAGAAATACCTTATGTTTCTTGAGGAGTTTCAGTGTTCCATCTTCATCCTTACCATATTCCTTGCTTGTCACAAGTGGATGTTTTTCTGCTATCCAAGCCTCCAGGTCTGAAGTATTCATTAAAAACTATCAGTTAAAGAGAAAACAAATTAGTTTCCACCTCAACTTTGAAAATACTCATGTCATTTTTTTTTTAACCTACTAAATTCTAAATGGAGGGTGCATTGTAAGATTTACTGTGATGTTTTATTAAATATCAAACAAAGGGTATTTAATCCCAAGAACTACTATTCCACACTGTTCTGTCAAATTATATGAAGGTGAAAGAGGTCACAGATGGAAGACTTCAGTGCAGGATAACTAAGGTCTTCTCCAGGTATCAAAGCTCTGGCAGTAAGTTTCAAGTTGTCTTACTTCTCTTTCTTCACATCACTATCCTGACTTGTCTCTTCCTTTACCTTATTCACTAAGGGTAGGGGCAAACTGTATAATATCAGTGTAATATTTCTCCTTCCCCTTCCTGAGAAGTCCAAATCACTTATAAAAATCGGGCTGCATAAAGCCTAAAGTATGGACAGTTGTTTTCATAGATGGAGGAGATAAGAGCCAGATGATCAAGTATGAAGGGCCAGTTCAGGATCTATTGCATTACTTAAGTCAAAGCCTGAGGCTGTATAAAGGTATTGAGAAAGGAGCTACTACTAGGAGAAATGTGTGTTCTGCACACAACCATAAGGGATGGGTACAGAGTCCAAGGCAAATCTCTAGAACAGCAGCTCTAGACTGGGGGCTGCATTCAGCTATGCAACCCTGCCCTCCGTTCCCATGAGTCTGGCCTCAAGCAACGCAAGTGAATACCAGCCCCAGCAAAGGTGTTCTGTTATTTAAAAATTTGGGATTCTTGTTTGAAGAAGCTCCCGTGTAAGCACTTTGCTATAATTTGTACCTCCTGGAAGCCAACTGAGTGCTGCAGCTGCTTCATCCTTTCCTCACAGGCCTTCTCCAAGCCCTGCCAGGCAGCCACAAGCTCATGGCATTTCTCACTTATTTTCTGAGCTGATGGGTGCTGGCCAACAATCATTGTCTTTCCTTTATCCAGGACCCGCTGAACTTGCTGTTTGTGGGCATTGATTTCTGCTTGCAGTTCCTGGGAATGAGATAAAAGAAAAAATAGGAATAAAGGAAGGGTATGTGAGGACAAAGAAATTCTACCGTGCTCCTAATCCCAAGCAAAACTGGCACCTGGTGACAGTGGGCAGAGTATAGCCAGTGGAGACAAGGTCTGTCTGGTTCTACAACAGCTGCAGCCTCAGCCACCAGTCCCAGACTCGCTTGTATAATGCTCTGCTCTTGGTGCTCCCATTGAGGGAGGAGATGAGACTCTGTAAGGCAGCAGCAGACATCACTACACTGGCCTGGTTCTACCCCTGTTCCTTACCATGCACCTGCCCCTTCCCATGCCCAGCAGCTGGGGGGGCTGGGAGATGGAACAGGACAAGGGATGAGACACAAAACTGGTGGATTCAGGAAAGAGGGTTGGGCTGCCTATGGGAAAATAAAATATCGCAGAAGATGAATGGGCTGGAGGATGATAGGAAAAGAGACATTGCCAACAGTACCATGACTCTTGCTCCATAAAGCCTCCCCACTGGTCTCACAACATTTCTCATGGAACTTGCAATCCATGTGCTGCAAATTCCAGTGTTGCCTGTGGTAGAGGGCAGCTCTGAAGTGCCCCTCTGGCTGTGAGGAACTGCTACAAAGAGTCAAACTCTCCAGAAATGTGTTAACTTGTCTGTGTAAATATATTGACTGAGGGATGTTCAAACCATTTTACAAGCAGTACAGAACTAAAATAAACATTAAATGGCTGTTATGTGCTCTCCTAGAGAATCTAGCATGCACATACCTCAAGACTGCATGCATAATGGAAGCAGTAAGCATAGAAATACAGGATGAGCACATAACAGTCAAAATATTCAACCCAGACCAACGCACAAAGCAAAAACCTCAGGGCTTTTTTATATTTAGTGTGAGGTACACTAGCTTTTTATCCACTTTTAATAGGAAGAACTACAAAATTTCTCAGAATAATAATACTGCAAAATGTGATAAATTTTGCAGTTCCCACAGGAATTTCATGTTTGCTCTGAAAATCATCACCACATGGCTAACTAGACTCAGTTCACTGGAACTATTTTAACTGGGCTAGTGCTGGAATCAGTGAATGTACTCATTGAAAGTGTGGCTATACATTTTGCTTGCGACGGTCTTCCTGAAAGTAAAGGAGAACTGTGCAGGTGCTGGTTTGCAGGCTGAGGTGAAATGCAATGTACCAACATGCTATAATACACTTAATTAAATGAGTTACCTTGTGTTTTTGCAACAGGCTTTGAGCTACATCCAAGGACTTCCCACAGTTGGTGGAATGGGCGATAGGCAATCGCTCATTAATCCAGTTCAGTTCCATGTCATGATAATGGTAGAACTCATAGAGATCCACTGCAGCTTCCAGCAACTTACGTCTCTCATTGAGAGGTGCTTTCAAAGACTCAAACCTAGGGGTCACCCATTAAATAAATGTTAAAACAAAGCTTTATCATGATTCTGCCAAGGGAATTAGGCTATGTTACCACTGTGAAGATTAGAAAACACTGAATACTTCTTTGCAATTAAATGTCAATAGTTAATGCTGGCTGCACATACAGGAATCCCTTCCCCAGAAAGCTACTTTTGGCAAGTAGACCTATATGATAACGCTAAGCGTAAGCAGAGGAAAAGTGATTTGCACCTTTGAAATCCTAGGCTTGTCCTATGACATTTTAAGGAACTAGTCACTATTGAATGCTGGATCACTGTGCCTCTTAGAAAGCAGTGGATGACCTATGGATAAGCAAAAGTCTATAGGAGGGGGGCAGAAGCAAGGAGAAGGCCCAGTAATAAAGGTTGAGGTGGGTTAACAGGCAGCTGTGTAGGTGTAGCTCAAAGCACTGCTGTGAGACAACTGGGCGGAGAAATCATTGCTGAATATGGGTTAAACCTAATCAACCAAAACACATTTTCTAGAAGGTAGAACAAAAAATGCTATTTGTCACAAGGGGTGGAGACAAAAAGAGAATGACACCTCACCTTTTCAGATATTTCTGTGTTTCATCCAGAATCCTCTGGGAGTCAAAGTGATTGGTGGCCATTTTCCTCGCATGAGATACAATAGAGTTCATTTTCTCTGCCAGCTCACATGTCTCATTTTCCAGCTGTCTGTGCTGCTTGAGTAGATCACGGCTAGAGCGCAAATCGTGGCCTGTCTCAGATTCCTGAAGAACTTTCTCAATTTTCTCTATCTTCTTTTTGGCATCCTGCCAGGAAAAGGTTACAGTACACTCATACTGACCTTTCAACACAATTTTCTTTCACTCAGCCCCTCCCACAACAGATTCCTGGAAACAATTTTTAAATCCATACGTCCTTTCTTGGTAACATGATGGCCAGGTATCTCTAAGAGGCATTTCCTGGGAATATTTTGTTTTGCACACTATTTTTGAGCGCTCTTCTCTCTGAGATCCTAAAGTACATCATTAAAACCAGTCTCTCTGAACTATCTTCAGTGACGTGATACAAAACAATCAAACAATCTTCAGAGGCTTCAGATTGTAGCTACAACACAACAGCAGTTCCATGATATACTGGTATCGAAACAGCTTCACAGTACATTGTTCCCCTTATACAATTCGCCTGGATGACTGTGTGCTTAATACAGTGCTGTGCCTCCAGCCCCCAAACTGACGCCAAGCAAGCAGTTATGTTTGCACAGCATTGACCCGTGCAGAGAGTTTTGATTGCTTTCCCAGTATAGGATGGCCACACAGATGCAGTGCTGAGCCTGAGTTCAACAGCTTTGTGCCTTGGTGCTGTGCTGGCACCATTATCCTGCTCACAGCTTTGGAGTGAGCTGGGTCAGTGTTATATGGGGTTTTCTCTCCTGAGACTAAGATGAAACGGACACCTTAAAATACACTTTTATCTATATAGTATTCTTTTTTGTGAGGACCACAAAACAGAGGAACCAGGCTCCTAGGCCATTCCTCCCCTCTCTTCCCCATCACCTTCTGACCTGGAGCAGTTCCATGAGCTGTTCTTGCTGCCCAGCTTGTCTCAGCTTGTCACCTCGCTCTATCATCTTGCCATACAGTTTCTTCCACTTCTTTTGAAGCTCTGACATCTTCTCCTGGATAGAAACTGCAGCATAATGGTTGTCTTGAATCAGTTGATTTCCTTTCTGGAGAAACACAACACACCATTTTTTTGAGCAGGTCAACATCTGTGAAGTCTGAGACAAGATGGAACGCTTAGCTCCAAAACTGCCTTCACCTTTATCAGACTAGCAAAGTGCTCCTCGTTAGCCATCATTTCCTTCTCAGCAGCCTCATGCCACTTCAGTTTGCGTAGAACATTTGTTGGATCACGATAAGATTCATCTGATGCAATTTTGTACTTCTCTTCCATCCATATCAAAAGCTCAGCAGCATCACGATTAAACTCCTTATGGAAACAAACAGGATTAAATTGATTTAACTTCTGATTCTGTGTGGATTTGCAGTGCATCCTTGCTGTTAGAATCAAGCCCCGATTTTTTTTTTCTAACAGTTAGGAAATGTGATATATTTTTATATAGAAGTTGTTCTACATAATCAATCCTCTTAATTGAAGAGGTATGATCTTGAACTACTGATGAGTTTTTAAGCCCTTGGAGTAATATCTCTTAGTCCCCTTTTTACATTTACTAATCTATTGCCTTTAATTGTCAGTGAAGGTTTGCATTTTTGGTAGACTATTCTAACCATAAGTAGTCCAATCCTCCAGTATAACTTTGTATCTCAGCACTGGAAACTATATTTGGTGCCAAAAGTACAGTTACTGTAAGTAACTGTGCCAAATTATTAAGGCCTAGGACAATAATAAGTAATGAGCAGAATAAACTTATCCAGTAGACAAAATATTCTGTTGATATTTTTGATTCAATATCTTCATTTTTGTTTTGGTATTTCGCTATGGTTATGGCCTTGTAAGATTTATGGCCAGTGCATCACCTGCTCCCTGGAAAGTGAAGTTCTCTCTCATAGCCAAAGAGAAAGTGAGGTCCAGTAGGAATTCTCAGCAGTTTGAGATTTGTCCCATATTAAGAAAAAGGATAAAATTATTTCATGCGTGCCTGACCAAATCTGCAGTATCAGTCCTTTTACCTGCAACTGTAGGGAATCCAACAACTTCTGTTTTCTCTCAGCATTGCTTTGTATCAGCCGCTCCCACCTTCGCTGGAGAGTGACCATTCTCTCTTCAATACTACCAAGAAAAACAGGAAGTCCAATCCAGTACTAGTTATATTGGTTCCCCTTGGTTGTACTGTAGTCATGACTCTGATATAAATGGAATCTACTTCAACACCTCTGTTGACAGGACAAAGGGATATACGGGCCCTGTCCCACGTCCATGCTAGGCTCAGCTGGAAAGCAGCTATTGCTTGCCAGCTGCTCTTGATTTTCCTTTTGTATGGCTCTGTTACATTAGTGAATTGCAGTCAGGTATGTTTGACTAAAACACCCAGACCTTTCTCTTTCCCAAATATTCCACCTTAACTAATAATTTTCTCTGTGATGCAAGTGCAGCGAGGCTGTGGAATGGCCTTCTAATGGTAGTATTTCTGGCAAGAAATCAGATTTCAAGAGCAGCTTTATAAATTTGTGGAGGGAATTTTCAAGACATTGTCACTTGTGATCACAAGAACATGGTCTCTTTGATCCAAGAGGTCCATTCTGACCCTATATTTCTAATTCTTGTTTATACAGAGGTCCCCTTACTGGACTGCAGTGGCTCTAGCACAGTAAAGGAATTACAGATCACAGTTCAGCTTCAGCAAAAACATCAAGGAGCTGTTCCCGATGGATTATTTCCTTGTGAACTCTTCTGTAACATTTTAACAGCAAACATTAACTCTAATATGTGATACTGATAAATGAAGGAAAAATTGTTTTGTGTAGGCATTTAATGAGTTTACATTAAGGAAGTTTTAACACTGTATGAAATGTACGATACAAGGCGAATTATTCTAGCATTTGGTCAAATGACACTTTTAAGCAAAAGGCCTTTTGCTTATTGGTCCTGAGAGCATAAGTCTGTATTTTTTTGAAGAAATCCCTCTTCCCCCCCTTGCCCAGCAGATCACAGAATGGAGGTCAACTAAATCCTGGCTCAGGGAAAGTTTTCCATCTCCCCCTAATCACACAGGATCGTTTATTAAGGCTAAATAAAAAAGGAAGGAGTTTAGACTCACACGTGAGATGCAAAGTGCCTGCTGTCTATTAGGTTCATCCCATTTTCATTAAGTGCTTCTACTCGTCTCTTCAGTGCCATCAGCAGTTGTTCAAATTCCTGATGTTGCTTCAGCAGGTTTTGAACAGCATCTACATGGTCCTGCATTTAAGAAAGAAAATTCAATCAAGTTTTTTCTTCGTCACATGTTGTTTGTGTAGCAATGAAAAAACATTTTTGGACCTTATATTCCCCCTTCTCTTTCAGGCAGGAAATATAGTGTACATTTTGCATGTGCCTAAGGATGTTCAGGGCTACAAAAAAGCAGAAGGTGTTTAGGTTTGTATAATATCTAGTTCTTCTGGTTTATGTTTCCATTTTGGTTCTATTTTCACCTTATAAGAAAATCTGCATTCTGAATTTATGCCAGCACTCTGGCACATCTAGGTAGGTGCAATACAAAAGGCTGTAACTAAGTAAAACTTTATTCCACTTGGTTGACCCAAAAGTATTGAATTTTCAGTTTCAGCTGAAAACATAAAAGATGGTGAGATACCACAACCTCCTCCTTCACTGATCTGGTGAATATTGCCTGCTTTTGTTTTTTCACTTCATTTGCTGTAATGTTCTTAAAATACTCAATGAAAAGAAAAAGCTTCATTATTTAAAAAGTCGGGTTATTACTTCATAAAAAAAATAATATTAATTATGTTCAAGCCAAAACCTTTTTAATGGTTAGCCACCAGACTGATGAGTCAATTGTATATAAGCCATCTGACATGTACAAACACAGTAACAAAGGGCAACTCTAGCTGTTTTAAATTTTTTTTTTTTGAGAGACAAACTTCATTCTTATTAAGATGAGTAAGAGCATAAGAACATTAATAAGAACCTGAAAGTCTAGTTTCCAAGTATTAAAATGCCATGACCATAAGAATGAGGAAACTGATGTAATTAAGAAAATTGTTGCTACTCCCTGGATGGGGAGACAAAGTAAGAGAAAACTGCTGCACATACCCCAAGGTCATTCCTCCGGAAAAAGGCCTCATGGCCAGAGAGGGCTGCACTGATACGGTCTCCCTCCCTATTGAACTTCTGCAATTCCAGGCTCTCCTGCAGCTTTTTCTGACGCTGTTCCCACATTTTCTCCAGCTCTTTGTTCTCCTTGGCAAGCCTCTCCATGGACTGGTGGACATCTGTGGTCCTGCCATTACTGGGTTGTTCATGGATTACTTTGCGTCCTAGCTCTTCCAGCTGCACAAATCTTCACAGGGTCAAAAAGAAAAGAGAGACCTCACTGCATGAGGGAATATGAATTCTCTTTCATCAGAGCTCTTTGCTCTCTTAGCAGTGCCTAGAGAAAAGCCTCCCCCGCTTTCACTCTTTTCCTGCTAGCCATGGTTGTGCACTACAAAGTGCAGCTGTTTGTTTGCTCAGGGACAGATGCTGGAGGCAGTAGGTGAGATTTCCCCATTTGGATGGACAGCCCATACAAGCAGGCTTTCCAGTTAAAAGGGAAAGGAGGGCCAGCTCAGAATCTGAAACTTCCTAACAGTGCAGAAGGAGAACTGAAGATGATGGCAACTGGAATCATAAAACCTGAGAAGGAAAGGACTGGGGGAACTGAAACAAAGAGCAGATGGCACCATCTGAGTGTCAGGAGAGCTTGTGAAATACTACTCCAAACATACAGCTTCTCCTTCCCCCTCCATCAGCCATCAGGATAAGTATGCAAAAGCTAACCGGATTTTCTGTTCTGCAGTCTCCTTTTGACACTAAGTTTCAGGAACATTTGAATAAACTTTCAGCATGACTTTCATACACAATTCATGTACATGATAGACATGTTTCATCTTCACAGTACTGTTCTCATATCACCCCACTCTGCCCACCTTGACAGAATCTCTCTACCTTTCTTTCTGAGACCTAATTTCTTTCAGCAGGTCCTGATGTTCCTTCAGCAATTGCTCTGCAGAAGCCACGTCCACACCCATTTCTTCACTGCTCAGTTTCTCCCGAATGCCTTCTGCCCACAGCAGGAGCCTGCGGCTGTCTTGCAGGAAGGACTGTTGATTTTGGGCCCGCTGTAGAATGTCCCACTTCTTCTGGGTCTCCAGCTTGAGCTTTGCCAGAAGCCTCTCCATGTTCTCCACCTGCTCAGTGATGGCCCTGCTCTCTGCAGGGTTGGTGTCCTTAATCCTACAAGAGGAAATAAAGTACATTCAATTGGATGAATACTTCAGGCCTGTAGAGCTTGAACCAATACTCTTTAAAATTAATGGATTTGGATACTTAAAATTCCATTAAAAAGAAAGTCAGCTAAGGCAACAAATGCTCCATGCTGACAAGAAATATTGGTGTGAATGTAGTATACTGCAGAAAGTGCATCCCTGTGAAAGACTCTGGTAACACTGTTGTGGTTCAGGGATTCATTCCCATTGTGAATGTACAGAAAACTTAAAGTAGTAAAAAACTTTAATTTTATATTTCAAATTCCAACTCCTGTGCACAATTCTCTGCTATCTTTCTTCCTTCATTCTTGCTTCCCCCGATTACCCTCTTTCAGGGCCTAAATGATACTTAGTTCAAATTGTGGAAGTAACTCCCATTAGTAAAGATAATTTGTTAGATTTGTGGTATTTATCCTCCTACAACAGTGAAGTCTGGAAGCAATCACTTCACCAATCACCCAGCCATACTCAAGAGAGATTATCTCAATTCAGCAGACAAGTCAGTTCTTCAAATTGCTAGAAAGAGAAACTTCATAAGCTGCTCATTCTCTTTATAGCCATAATTTACAACATGGTCTTAGAGAACTAGAAAAGAATATGGAAACAAAGAGTAGGTTCCTTACGATTTTGCAACACTCCTCAAGTATTCAATTTTCCTCTCTATCACCAGGACCTCTCTCTCAATTGCAGACAGTTTGCGCTTGTCTGACTCCAGCCCAGCAGGTGAGTTCCCTGTTTCCAGATCCCTGAGTTGGACCATCTTCTCTTGCAGTAGTACTCCTATGCTCTGACAGTCCTGTAGAAACGTCCTCACATCAGCGACTCCAATCAGCTCAGAGCCCTTCTCCTCCTTCAGAGTTTCCATGTGTTCCCACCTTGGAGAGAGATAACCCAATTACTTGCATCTAGCTTCAGCCACTACCCCAAAACTTGCCTTCACCTAGAGAGCAGATTCAATTTATAGCCTTTGTTATACATGAGCTGTGTCCTTTTTCTATTCAGAGTCTTGTATAAAGATTTCAACAGGATTTAAGTGGGCTGAGGATGTGAACACTAACACTCCCCCCAGCCTTGAAATTCACCTCGGTGCCATCTCAAGCAAGGGGACCCTGCTCAGGTGACCAGAACACACTGAACACTATGCCAATGAATAACAGGGGTCAAAATCAGGACCCAGCTGTGCCTCTCAGTTCCAGCTGTGTGGCATGGTGCCAGGAGTACACACCAGGTACTAAACATACTTGGTGAAGTCAAACAGGGTTTCATGTTCCTTTCAATATTTGTGAGGGGCACCCTCACTCTGATGTTTAAGTAACCAAATCAGCTGCTGCAGCGCAATGCAGACAGAACTGCTCTGAAGCCATCGCTGTTGCTTATGGGTGGATTCATGTTGTGCTTTAATACACACACACAAACTGCTGCAGTTTAAATATCTCAGCGCCAGGGATCTAGAAGCACCCCCCATCCCAGCGGCATGATGCCAGGCTCAGGGCCAGCCTAGAGCCAGTGTGGCTGAGTGCTGGCCCTTTCCCACAGGTGACAGTGGGGACAAGCTGCCAGGTAGCTCTGAGGATTGGGACTCACCTCTGGCCCTGGCTACCACCCCAGGCCTCCCCTGCTCACCTCCCTGTGGGACTGGCCCTGTGTGCTGAGCCCTCCTGCCCATGCCAGCTCCCAGTCCCAAAGGGAGCCATTGGCCCTTGCTGCAGTCTGGCCCAGGCCCAGGCCTCAAACCAAAAATTCCCGGCCAGGCCACAGCCCTGCCCCCTCACCACAGACTAGTTGGGCTATGGGGACTACGGGCTGCCCCCTTTCCCCCCCTCCCCTGCTCCCTGGATGGGGCGGTGGGACAAGCCCCAGCTGCAAGGCCCAGCCCAGGCCCCAAGGAGCAGCCCCCACCCCTTTGCCCCAGTCCCTGTTTGGTGGCAAAAGCCGCACCTGAATACAGCAAACCTCAGCCACACATGAAAACTTCCCCTCAGGCCGATTCTGGGAGTTAAAGATCTATCAGACGGGTATTCTCTCAGTGTAGTCTAGATCAGGCATGAAAGGTCAGCTCTCCAATCGCCCCCATGAGACAATCCTCTGTCAGTAGCTCCTTTACCTGCTGTTGATCTTTTCAAGCCAAATCTGGATCTCAGAATATTTGCTGGGATTGGTCTTTAGATATTTAACAGCTAAGTTTTCAATATCTCCCATCTGGCCTTTGCCTGCAGCCAGTTCCATTAAAAAGCTCTGAAATAGGAAAGATACAAGAATGCAGAACATGTGGTTTTTCCATTTCTATGGACATGATTCTCAATAATCCATCATATTCACTCATCTCCCACTTTCACAGTTGGCTTCTCCATTTACCTGTCTGCTGTCACCATAGACACCTGTAGTTCCCCTATAGCCCTCCTGACCTCCCCTTGGTGTACACCCTACACCTATGCACATACGTCTCACTCTACTGGGATGCAAGTGCACTTGCAGGATTTTTTAATCAGCTGGCATTTTTCTTCAAGTGGCATAAGATAAACCACAAAAAGAGTTCTTTTGTACTATATTTGTCCAGGATACCACATCCACAGGGGAAGTTAAAGGGACATAATTACATCGGCTTCAATAAGCTTGGCATAGTTTATGCGAAATAAATATCTGATTTATGTACTACTTCATGAATTGAAATGAATGAAAAGACTCTCAAAACTTCATTTCTCAACTTAATTTCTCAATCTATTCTTCCAAGGTCAATGTGATTTAAAAGGTGTCATCTGTGAGCAGGAAAAAAGGGTACCTGATATTTCTGCTGCATGACCTCCACATTGTCTGCTTGAGGCTGAAGAGTCCGGAAAATGTTCTCTTTGTCTTTCATCCATGACTGAAATTCTTCACAAGAGCTACAGAAGCGGTAATATCCAATCATCTCCTCCAGAGCCTTTTTTCTGTCCTGTAAAACAGATGAAGACTTAGGTATTGCTGTAATAATTCCTTCCTGTTTGAAGAAGAAAAAAAAAAAAAGAAAAACCTTGCATTTAAACTACAATACACAGGTGGTAGCTTGGTAGTTTTGCCAGACACTGCTGAAAGAGAATAGAATGCGTTACCTTAAGACTTGACTATTTTTGTGAACTGCAAAGCACGGGAGGGGATACTATACCTCAGCCACCCTCTGTAGATTTTCATAAAGTGAATCTATTTCATCTTGGGTCTTCCAGATGTTCTCTGGAAGAAAATGAACATCTGGACTGGAGGTTCCAGGGAACGCAGTTTCAGATGTTGCCCAAGAGCGACTGAATGGTAGCTTAGTTGTCTTTTGATTTAAGTCACTTGGGGCTTCTCTCTTCACCATCTGTTAAGCAAAATTTAACAGAATCAATAAGTGAATATTTCTCATTTGGACAAAAATTTCACATGGAAGGAAAATTTGGACTTGGTAGTTCAAATCACAGCATTCTGACCCTTTAAACAAAACATTTCCAGTATTTATTTGAATCTGTTTTCTTTGTTTTATTCTGAAAGAATGAAACAAATAACTGAAAAACATTTTAGCTTTGTTTAAAGAAGAAGTTTCATTTAGCTCATTTTAAAATATATTGATTCAGTAAAAAATACCTTTTTGTGCCCACATCAAGGTGGTTTTGGTTTTTATTTTTAAACTTTTAAAATTGCCAATAAACCAAAGAATTAACTATGTTCACATTTCTACTTGTGGTGATGCTTTAATACCTGAACACTTCCAGTTTCAAAGCCTGTGAGTGCCCTAGTGAATAAACGCTTATATTTGCACATCAATACCACCTTGTCACATGCCTTTTCATGTTTAATAACAAAGCAATACAATTTTTGTTCTAATAAAAATTAATGTTGGAATGATGAGGTAAAGGAAAGATCTGAAGTGCTCATAGCTCTCAAACTGGTTTGGCTAAACACCAAGTGATCATAGCAGTCTGCAAGAATCTGCAAGAATCAAGCTATGAAATGTGTCATTCATTTCCCCTAACTTCTGTTGACAAATTAGGTTATCTCAGGTCAGAAGTTCCCTTTCTAGTCAGTCAAAAAGAGGAGCATCTGCAGGGGTTGACTTCATCCCACATGCCTTAAACAGCTGTCCTGGGATGGTATGAACTGCTCCTGGAGCTGTGGGATGGTTCATCACTATATTAGGATGTAGAAAGAATTTGTGAAGATGTTTAGATTAAACACTACTTTTTAAAGCTGACTGAAATTACTAATGTTATGAGAATAAAGAGTGAGAAGCTATTTGTCAGGACTGATAGAAGGAACTCATAAACAAGCGTATTTCTAGCATTTCACAGAACACTAACTAGGCAGGCTATGAGTGGCCAATGAACTTCTTTGTCATCTAAAAATTTGCCTCAATTCTCATTAAAAATTACTTCTGATTTAAAAAAAATGCCCTTGTTTAGGTCATTTGGAATACTCTATTCTGGCAAAATCAAAATACTTTACATCATTAAAAACGATTCAATTTACATTCTTCAACAAAATGTGACACAACTCCTCATCTACTTACTGTAGCTGGAGCTTGCTCTGCTGCAATGTCAGCCTGCTCTTTCAGGCGTCTCATCTCAGAGGAGTAGGCCGCAATCTCCTTCTCCAGGCGCAAATGACGATGCAACAGTGCTTCAGTGCTTGATTCATCTTTTCCATAGTCCTTGCTGGCCAGAAGGGGCTGTCTTTCTCGTAACCATGAATTTGCTTCATCGATGTCAGCAAAGTACTGAGGGAACACAGGGAAGAAAACTCTTGGTTTCATCCTGAAAGTATCATCTCCAGCTCCTTTTTCTTTTGAAAGTAATGATTAAGACAGAAATGCCATTAGGTCTGTAGGTATAAAGTTACTTCCAGGTGTTGTGAAAGCTATGAATGAGCTCTAAATCTGTGATGTATTTCATGATCACATTGAGCACAGATAATTCACAGAATCACAGTGAGTAAATAGATTCAAGGATTGCCTATATAACTCTTTAAAAACTGCTAACTAACTAAAACTTTATGGTGCTTAATAGCAGCAGTAAAAGGAACTCGCATCATACGATCTTGATAGGCACCACATAATTCCAACAGATATTTACTAAAGGTTCTAAGGAAAGTCCAGCAACAAACAATGAACTCAGTCTACAACAAAAGTTTTCTTCTTTTTTCCAGAATTTGCAGTCTGCCTGGCTATCCTAAAAAGCAAAACAAGATTTTGAGATACAGAATAAAGGTACAACAGAAAAAAAGAAACCCCATAGTAGTGAAGGAAAAAAAAGAACAACTAAAACACCATAATGACTTTAAACTTATTAGACAAAAGAGAGAATTTGGACTTTGTCAGGAACAAAGCTCTTACATTTTGTTCAAGTGTCTCATGGGAACAATAGACTGAGCAAAAAACTTAGAAAAGTGTGAATAAGAATACCTGAGATAATGTTATATGATTTTGGAATGCTGCTTTTTTAAGAGCTATTTATTTGCAGATGTGTGAATGTTTGTAGCTGTGAAAGCGTAGATCAGAATGGCAGGGTCAAATGTTTCCCAGGCTTTGGGAAATTATGGTCAATCCGAGTCTTATGGCTTGTTTCTTTTGTTGTTGGTTGTTTTTTTTTTTTTTCATGTTAGACAAACATCACGCAACTACCCAGGTCCCACCCTCAAAAAAGACTATGCATCACCACTATTACGTGAGCTATTTCCATTAGCGTTTTTAACTTAGAGTAACTCCCAGCTGTTCAAATCTCCTGCCTGGCTGGCTCACAGGAGGATTGAGACTTTGCTACCGGAGATCTTTTTGAAGACTGACACCTGAAGGCTTCCTGCCACTGTTGCTGTGCATGTGGGGGTGTCCTGGTTTCAGCTGGGATAGAGTTAATTTTCTTCATAGTAGCTGGCATAGAGTTGTGTTTTGGATTTAGTACTAGAGGAATGTTGATGGCACACTGATGTTTTGGTTGTTGCTGGGTAGTGTTTAGTCTGGCCAAGGACTTCTCAGCTTTCAGCTCTGCCAGGTGCATGGGAAGCTGCGAGGGGACACAGCCAGGATGGCTGACCCCAACTGACCAAAGGGCTATTCCATACCATATGACACCATGCTCAGTATATAAGCTGGGGGAAGAAGGAGGAAGGTGAGGGCATTCGGAGTGATGGCGTCTGTCTTCCCAAGTAACCGTTATGCGTGATGGAGCCCTGTTTTCCTGGAGATGGCTGAACACCACTTGCCAATGGGAAGTGGTGAATGAATTCCTTGCTTCGCTTTGCTTGCATGCGCGGCTTTTGTTTTACCTATTAAACTGTCTTTATCTCAACCCACAAGTTTTCTCACTTTTACTCTCCTGATTCTCTCCCCCATCCCATTGTAGGGGCAGTGAGCGAGCGGCTGAGTGGTGCTTAGTTGCCAGACGGGGTTAAACCATGACAGGGGGCATAGAGCAGAACTGAACCACATCCCTGTCCCCCATACCATGCACCACAGCAGAGCTCTGCTTACCTGTTTGATGAGAGCTGCTGCCTGCAGCCGGCTTTTGCGATCAGCCACCTCGTCTTGGAGCTGCTGCCACAACTTCTGGAGGTTGTCTGTCTGCTTCAGAATGTCCTCCTGGCGTGCGGGGTTCTTCTGGCTGAGCTCCCAGCCCCTCCTCATCACACCTGCACATATGGCCCTGTGGGAATTGCACTCCACCTCGAGAGCCTAGCAGAAGGACAGGAGACATGTCAGCATAACTAACTTACCACCAGCTGAGAGCGAAGAGGGGGTCCTATTCTCCGCCATCGTAATACATACATTTCCAAGAGCCCTGTGTTTTATCCATGCCTATGACTTTTCCCTGAGCACTGAGATGATTGCCCCTTGACTCCCCCCCCACAAATTACTGTCCTACTTTTTGCCTTTGATGTGAAGCTTCTTATGCAGTCTTCTCTGAAGGAAATACTTATTTGTTGTCCACAAATACACAAACAGATGCACACAAACGTATATTAAAATTACAGATGCTCCTGTTTCAGTTTTGTCATCGAAGTTCTCAAGTCCAGAGGTCTCTTCACTTGTTCACAGTGATTCTTTGCCATAAGAAGGTAGTAGCTCATACAGCTAAGCTTTTCATAATAAGCACACAGCAAACTCTTAGGGAAAGGGGCAACAGATTTGTAAGCTCACACAATGTTATCCACCCTGCCTGCTGATTTCCATTTTCTTTTCACCATCTCTTTCTCTCTCCACATCTCTCTTGGCCAGGAAAGGTGGGTGGGAAAAATAAAAACTAGCGAACTTTTTTCCCTCCTGTCCAAAGTGAGCTAATACAGAGCCCTTCTGCTGCACTTCTAGTCCAGTATGAAGCATATTCCTTCTCTACCCTTTCCTTCCCCTCTTGGGCAAAAAACCCTACCCTATAAATTTTTTAAAACTCCAAAACCTGGTCATGACACTTGAGATTATGAGTGGTTTGACAGCTTTGGTTTGACAGCCAAAGACAGGTTTGACTTATAAGTACTGTACTGACTGAACTGAAGGACATAGGTGTTCTAAAATATTGCTATAATACAAAGACAAGGCACCACTAGCAAAGTAAGGTACCTTGTGCTTCTGAATAGA